CAATTTATAACATTTTTTACATGCGTTTTTCTGGATTTGTTTGTTTTTATTCTGTCTCTCACTGTTCATATAAACCTACCATTAAAATTATAGACTGATCATTTCTTTGTCAGTGGGCAAACGTACAAAATCAGCAGGGGATCAAATACTTTTTTCCCTCACTGTAAATGAAAGAGTGAAAATAAGGAAGCCTTAAGAAATTAACTTTATGTCCTGAATACAAAGAATTTCAGTATGTTAGGGGCAAATCCAACACAACACATCACTGAGTACCACTCTTCATATTTTCAAGCATGGTGGTGGCTGCATCATGTTATGGGTATGCTTGTCATTAGCAAGAGCTAAATACAGGCAAAATCCTAGAGGAGAACCTGGTTCAGTCTGCTTTCCAACAGATACTGGGAGACAAATTCACCTTTCAGCAGGACAATAACCTAAAACACAAGGCCAAACAGACACTGGAGTTGCTTACCAAGACAACATTGAATTAGTGGCGTAGTTACAGTTTTGACTTCAATCAGCTTGAAAATCTATGGCAAGACTTGAAAATGGCTTAGCAATGATCAACAACCAACTTGACAGAGTTTGAAGAATAAAAAATTAAGAAAGTGCAAATATTGTTTAATCCAGGTATGCAAAGCTCTTAGAGACTTACCCAGAAAGACTCACAGCTGTAATCGCTGTCAAAGGTGATTCTAACATATTGACTCAGGGGGTTGAATACTTATCTAATCAAGATGTTTTAGTGTTTTAGTGTTCATATTATTATTATTATTATATATATTTTTTTTTACAAATGTTATATATTTTATTCCACTTTGACATTACATAGTATTTTGTTTGCATTGTTGACAAATTAAATAAATTATAATCCCACTTTGTAATACAACAACATTTGGAAAAAGTGTGTGAATACTTTCTGAAGGCACTGTATACATGTGTGTTTGTGTCTATGTGGGTGTATGCTTGAGTGAGTGCATGTGTGCTAAGGTGCGTAGAATCAGAGCAGGTGGTCAGTCCAGTTCAAGTGTTCAGCAGTCAATTAAACTGTCTCTGGACTATATTCAGTAGCGTTTTTCACCATGAATCGTGTTCTGGGGGCAGCTCTGCAGAGTAGTCACTAGCTGGCACAGCCACAAAGTCATTCAATCTAACCTTAACCCTAACCTTAACCACACTGCTAACCCTAATGCCTAACCCTAACTCTAAATTAAGACCAAAAATCACATTTGTACAATTATAGCCAATTTGGACTTTGCAGCTGGCCTGTCCAAGGGGAAATCGCTCAGTTCTGCCTCCAGGACAAGACTCATGACAATAAATATCAACCTGCTATTCAGTATATTACCTCAGTATCAATATTGTTACTGATTCCATTGTAACAGAGTGATACTGTGCAGATGCAAAGTTTGGCAACAGAATGACGGCACAAACAGTAATTCTGTTACCAAACTTTGCATCTGCACTGTTGTTAAAAGTAGTCCTTGTGCCTAGAGTTGTATGGTTTGTTTCACTTTGCAATCATTGGTTTTTGTTTGACATATATTTTATCTGAGTCAGTGTCATGGTAGACTGTTACCATACTGTTATGGTAGACTGTTACCATACTGCAGGGATCATCAACTAGATTCACCCGCGGGACTGAGTCAGTGTCACATTATTACAGTGGAAATTGCCCTACTATTTTTGCTGATTGCTGACTCATCATGTCCTCGGTATGTGTGAAGATTAGAACTCCCATAGCAGTCCTATAGTGCTTCCTACATTATCATTCATTTATTATTCGCATTCTCTAGTCTCTCTAGCCTACATGTTACTCTCCCAGGTCTCAGAAGTCTCAAATAGCCCAACATAATGAACAAAAATGTTCACTTGTGCTCTGAAAACACTTCCTTGTCAGTTGTTGTTTTAACATTATGTCTCGGCGACCGAGGCCGAGGGAGCTACGTGTCGTGAGAACTTTTAATTGTTTGCTCCGAAGTTTATGAAGGAAACAGGGAGAACAATGCAAGTGCATTAAATCCTGAATATTTCACAACACTTTTGCACTTAAGCAAAGAAAAATATAAAATGTTCATACTTGGATAGAGTTACAAAACACGTTTTTACTCCTGCAGGATGCTGACACAAAATGTGAATTATAAAAGACCTCCGTTTGCCTTTTTGGAGTTTTTACACAAATAGAGATGGAGTGAAAAGTGTGTGTCCGGGACTCCGGGCTGGTGGTATGTTGATGTGTGTGCGTGTGTGTCTGTCTCTGTGTGTGTGTGTGTGTGTGTGTGTGTGTGTGTGTGTGTGTGTGTGTGTGTGTGTGTTTGTTTTCATGTGTTTGTGTGAATGTGTTTGGGTGACTGCTTGGTTAATGTGCGTTAAGGGCAGACAGTGCGGTTGAGACCCAGGGTGAGAGACAGCAGTACTTAGAGTCTTTGTACTCTGTCTGGCAGGAGTATATGCTGTCATATCAACATCCAGTGCCTCTTTAACCAAAATGTTCCACTGAAACCAATGGAAGCCACGTTCTTTGGAACAGATCTGTGCGGGGGAATCCCGCCTATATAATGGTAGTGTAGGAAAACACTGCACAGATGTCCTGCCTGAAAGAGCTGTCCTACTGTTCTCTTACTCATCTTTAAAGTCATCTCTTTAGTAGGGTTTGCACTCAGGAAATGTTTTGTTGAGTGAACATGGTCATGTGAGATTTAAATTCCCATCAACATACCACAGTGTCTGAGCCAGGTCTTGTGTAGAGCCAAACCTTTTTCTTTGTGACTGATTGTGTTAATCTCTCTCTTTCTCTTTTTCCGTCTCTCTTCCTCTCTTCCTCTCGCCCTCTGTCCCTCTTTCATCCTCTTCTTTCTTCATCCCTGTCTGTCGCTCAGTCTCCTCTCTTCTTCCTCGTCCCTCTTTCATTTCTCCTTCTCTCTTCCTCTTTCATCCCCATCTTTCCCTCTCTTCTTCCCTGTCTGTCTCTCCATCTCGTTGCTCATCCTCTATTTAATCAGCTCTCCTAGGACCTTGCTCTCAGTAATTAGCTTTGAAATGTTAATCACCATAGACCTAGAGCAGAGGACACCAGAGAGATGTCGGCATTATACACACAGGCACACACACACACGCTTACTCACGCTGGTACGCGTACTTGCCCACATATGTAGGCCTACACTAACGCACACGAACGAGCACACATACACTTTTTTACCAACCTCACACACACCTGCACAATGTACCCAGTGATTCATCTTAGTGCATTAATATTAAGTGTGGTAGCAGGCCATGGCATGCTCAGACATGCCAGCCAATTAGCCTATGGCACCGTGGGTAGGGAAGGTCACGACATGCGGGAGGCCGTTGCATAACGTCAGCTCTCCTCTCTCTCTTCCCCAACATACAGGGCAAGGCTGCTTCCAAGCCTTCTACCGTTATGTCTATACTGTTATGATACTGTTATGGTAGACTGTTACCATACTGTTATGGTAGACTGTTACCATACTGTTATGGTAGACTATTACCATACTGTTATGGTAGACTGTTACCATACTGTTATGGTAGACTGTTACCATACTGTTATGGTAGACTGTTACCATACTGTTATGGTAGACTGTTACCATACTGTTATGGTAGACTGTTACCATACTGTTATGGTAGACTGTTACCATACTGTTATGGTAGACTGTTACCATACTGTTATGGTAGACTATTACCATACTGTTATGGTAGACTGTTACCATACTGTTATGATAGACTGTTACCATACTGTTATGGTAGACTGTTACCATACTGTTATGGTAGACTGTTACCATACTGTTATGGTAGTCTGTTACCATAGTGTTATGGTAGTCTGTTACCATACTGTTATGGTAGACTGTTACCATAGTGTTATGGTAGACTGTTTCCATAGTGTTATGGTAGACTGTTGCCATAGTGTTACGAACCCCGTGGCTTTAAAAGTCTAGGGTGGATGGAAAAGAGACCCGTAACATAACTCATGCGAATTAGAATATTGACAAGGAACAGTGAGAACAAAATACACCGACAACCACAAAGCTACCGTCAAACACAAAATGTTTATTATAAACACACGGTAAACGGTTTGGGGAAAAAGGGCTGAGCTGGACCCAAGGAATGAAACAATAAAGTCAAAAACCCCTAAACTGATCTTGCCTGTTTTAAGAACCGCTAAGCTTACTGCTAACCATACAAAAATACAGTGGGTGGGCCGCTCAGGTCTAACTAGTGTGTTTAGACAAGGTTTTCCTACGGGTAGTGTATGTCCAAGGGCGACTTACTAAACCCCTCTTTTCCCAGGCACAAACAAACAACATAGGTACAATATGGACTAAACAGCAAACGAGTGAGTACAGAAAAACAAGACACCACAGTATACATACTCACAAAAAAAAGAGTATTGGTCAGAAAACACAACTGACTGGCTTTTAAAACCAGGGGATGTGTGATATGGTAATGAAAAACAGGTGGTGCAATACGGAGGAGTGTCCACTGATTGGTCCACCTCAGCAATCAGCAGACGAACGGCTGTCGGACAGGTGGGACACACCAACGACCACCAATCAGGAAAACAAGGGACACCTGTGATTAGGGCAGAAGGAGAGGAAAAACAAATATACATACAGGATACCTGTATCCGTAACACATACTGTTTGTTTTGGTAGACTGTTACCATACTTTTATGGTAGACTTGGTAGACTATGTAGTCTTGGGTCATGTTTATTAGGCACCAAACAAAACAGACTGAAAATGGGAAGGACTACCTGTACTCGTCCAATAAGGAACGCTTATTTCCAATTCCCATTGCAAAATATTTCTAAACAATTTCTGTTTTCTTCCCCTAATGAACACGACCCTGGTCTCAGGCCTTGAACCTGGTTTTCCGTTGCAAAATGCTTTAAAATCATTTTCCATCACATGCCCTAATGAACACAATCCTGGCCTTGGAGTTGTCAGAGTTGACGCTAACTGGGTTCATGTTTAAGTGAGGAGCCATGAGGCTGAGTGGAGGCGACGTGGCAGACATGCTAACTCCGCCAGCTAGACCTCCTCTGAGCCGACACAATGGCCAGACACGCAGGAAGTGTGTTAGCCACTCTGGGCAGACACACAGCTGCCATGTCCCATCCTGCAAACGAGCAGAAGATGAGAAGAGCAGCACCCCTATTCCGGGAACTGAACAACCGGGGCTGTTCTATTGTTAATGATGAAATACAGTGTACAGTAGGATGGATTGTTTGGGTGGGGGGGTATGGATGCGGGTGTTTCAGTGTGTGTGTACAGTATGTGTGTCTACATGCGTTTATTCGTGTGTCTATGTTCGTCTTTCATCAACATGTGTGTGGGTTCCTTTGTGTGTGCGTGTGTGTGTGTGTGTGTGTCGGGTTGACTTGGCTCAGTCGAGGACTGACTTCATTTAATAATGGACCTCCTGTTCTCAGCCCTCCATACAGACAGATGAGTCATCAACACTGACTGGGAAACAATCCTATGGTCAGATGTTTCTCAAGGTCCAATGGCCTAACGTCACCCACAGGGGAGGGCAGCAGCTGCTAGAAGTCAACCGTCCAGAAAGAAACATTAATATAGCCATTAGCATGAGCTAATCAGCTAATCAGCCTGGGATTGGTTTGCGTGTGAATGTGGAGAGTGCCATGACATTGGAATGGATGAGAGGAAGAACAGATGTAGCAATCCCAAATGAAAGAGGACAAGAGAGTAACCGGTCTGTCCCAAAATGTTTTGCATGTCAGCAATCAAGTTTTCAAGATTTATAACTTTCAAACTACAGAAATACAGCCGGTATGATGCATTTTACATCATATGACGCATAACGCAGCATCATATGAGGCTGGCTGTATTACTGTATGTTGAAAGTTATATACATGCAAAACAATTTGGGACTATATCAACAATGGACTAATGAAAGAAATACCAAAAGTTCGTTTTTGGGTGGAGTTTCCCTTTAAATAATGATAACATTTTGGGAATGTATAGGAATGATCATCGTCCCCTGTTCGTCCTCAGTGTGGGGTTTAGTGTTAAGCCAACTGAATATGAATGTCACTATTTGTTCCTAGGGAACTCACATCATCATCATCACCACCTCAGAGTCAGACAGCTCAGCTCAGTGTTCTCATCACTCACCCAACCATCATTTGGAGAAGAACAAGGAACAAAACATGTAATGTTGTTTAATGTCATCAACTCCAACTTCAGCACTGGTCTAGGTAGCCTCTCTCACCATGGTTCAGCTGGACTCCAATAGCGGTTTCAATGGCTCAGTGGGTTAGAGCACGTTGCTACAAACACAAGGGGTTGATTCTCACATGAGCCATGATGGGCCACATGTCTGTGTCACTGTCAATGTTGACAGTTCTTTAAGTCGCTTTGGATAAAAGTGTCTGTTAGAATAGATAATCATGTTAAGGAACCATGCTTCACAATGGTCTCCCTGAGTCCTTGTGGTCGATAGTACCAAACACTGAGTAGATTGTTGGCTTGGCTACTGATATGAATTATGGAAGGCCTTTCCTCTTTCTTTAATGTGCTGCTGCCTGCCAAGCCATTAAAAGGATAGCTAATATATTAGTGTGTAGCAGGGATCATCACCTAACACTGAGAGCCTTCCTCTGTTGGAGCCTGTACGACTCTGTCACTGGGCCAGCAGGGTGTGTATGTGTGTGCGTGCAACTTCCCTTGGGGATCAATAAACTATCTATACTGTAAGTGCTGTAAGCACTTTACATTGTAAGAGGGGTATCTCTCACCTCAGCCACTACCTATGTGTTGAACCCTTCACCTACAGTATGTGACAGATAGATTGTGGTTGTTGTTGCTCTACTCCCATAGAGGTTGATGATTGACCTATATGTGTTTGTGTTTTCCAGTATGAGTTCAAGGCCAAGAACATCAAGAAGAAGAAAGTGAGCATCATCGTGTCTGTGGACGGAGTCAAGGTGGTCCTCCGGAAGAAACAGAAGGTAATCAGAGCCAATCTGGGCCAATCAGAGAGCAGGGTTATGATGATGTCATTATGAAGAGGCCAATCAAAGAGTAGGGTTGTGATGATGTCATTACAAAGGGACTGATCAAAGAGTAGGGTTATGACGATGTCATTATGAAGATACCAATCAAATACTAGGATTATGATGATGTCATTATGAATGGACCAATCAGAGAGCAGGGTTATGGCGATGTCATTATGATGATGTCATTAGGAAAGACCAATCAGAGAGCATGGTTATGAAGATGTCATTATTAAGGGACCAATCAGAGAGTAGGGTTATGACTATGTAATTATGATTGACCAATCAGAGAGCATGGTTATGACGATGTCATTATAAAGGGACAAATCAGAGATGGCTTATGTCAATGTCATTATGAGGGGAATAAAATCACCAAATCCATGGGATTCTTCTCTTGCAAATGTAGTTTTTTTGTCTGTCGTAAAATATTACATTTAGACTTCATGTTGTATTTCGACTCTGAATTAGAGGTCTTCACGGGTCGAAAAAGTTTGACCTGTTCCGAAATGGACCTGGGGCTTTCCCACCCGGACACGATATGCATAAATAAAAAATGTCAATAGAGACCCGTTCCGAACGGACCCAAGGACAACTAGACCTGTTCCGTATAGACGTGGTCAGATCCAGACCCGGTCAGATCCGATCCGAGTGAGGGAAGCAACAGAAAAGTAATTTTTAAAGCTTCTTTATTAACCGGAGCTGATAAATCGCAAGAGGACGGAGAGAGAGGTCGAGATGCCGCTCTAGCAGGCAGGGGAGGGGCCGTACTGTGAGCGAGTGAAACGGGAAGCAGAAGGGGGGAGGGGGGAGAGACAGCAACCAACCAAGTCGACTCACGCTATAGTAAACTATTAGCTTTCATAGCTAGGTTATTTATCATAAAATATGATTACGTAGTACCTGTCTTGACTGAATCAAACCGGGAGAAGCTAGTCAAGCTAGCTAACATTAGCTAGCTAGGCTAATTGAGGCTGCAGTGCATGCGCTTTCTCATCCTACAGTTACAAATAACAACAACTCCATTCAGAATATTAAGCAGCTGTTGGTCATTGTAGCCTATCCTTCTCTTTTAACTTTTAATTCTGTAATTTTAATTCCATCTTCCATTGATTAGATATCTCCTAACTGCCTCTATGACTGTACCCTATTGCCGCTTTGATGAATTATGATTGGCCAACAACAAGCTACACACGCCACGCTCAACTCTCGTGAAAAGGAAGAGCAGCAGCATAAATAATAAAATGTCGCTCTCTCTCTCTCTCTACTGCAGCAGTCGTGTTCGTATCTGTACGGGCCCTTCTGGACAAGTCAGTTAAAATTACACATACCCGAGACCCGTGACAATCATATCAGATCTGACCTAGTCCTGTGAAATTATTTAGAATTCTGGATCTGGACCCGCTCGGGTCCCGGATCGGCTTTTGGGTATTCGGTTACAGCTGGATCCGTCAAGACCTCTACTGTGAATCTCCACTGTTGTGATTGATTGTTAACATCACCTTGACTTCCTTGCCCACAGAGGAAAGAGTGGACCTGGGACGAGAGCAAGATGCTGATCATGTCTGACCCCATATACAGGTCAGTGTCACACCTGACCTCTGACCTATTGTACAGGTCTGCCTCACTCGTCACCCCATTTCCTTCCCTTTTGACCAGCTGGGCCGTGTCTCAAATTAACCCCTACCTATTCCCCATATAGTGCACTACTTCACCCAGAGCCAATGTAGTGCACTCTGACATCATTTGAGATTTGTTACAGGTCTCCCTGGGAAAATACAGTCTTTATCTCAATTCACCTTCCTGGTATAAAAATAGCAGAAGCTCCTTTAGTGAATCCCATTTTAATGGGCCACACTGATGGTCCAACCGAATAACACATTGAAGTCATTCATATGTGCTGCTACACACTCTGATAATGTGCCTCTGTGTATGTGCCATCGGCAATTACACTCATACAGTATATATTGGTTAGGGTTAGGGAACTCTTGAATTATCTATGACTTGTAGCCACAGCATACGTGACGACTGGCTCGATTCGGTCCTATGTAGCAACATTTGAAATAGTGTTTTTTACACTGGAAAAATGTAGCGACTCAGAGCTAGAAAATTGTATGTCATACACTGCAGTTGAGGAACAATGAGAAAGTAATTCTGCTTTGAAAGTTAATAAACTTGTAACCCCACTTTTGAGAAAATGTCTCTTGAATGTTTTGGTACACCTACTGGGGAGCTCGTCTTTGTCTACACCCATTCAGCATTATTCACACCGTCTTAAGCCTTAGCCCCACCCATCTCTTTAAGGATTCATGTGAGGCCATGTGCTAAACAGAGTGAGTAAGGTAGTGTAATGTAGTAAACAACCAAAGATTTCAAGACTAAAAGTGGTGAAAGTAGTAGCAAAAAATCTAGTCCTTGGCCTATATCTTAATCTGACTGTGGTGCAAGTCATGTTGTTCTTCATATTACCGTCTCTGGTAAAAACATACAATATCAAAATAAAATCAAAGTTTATTTGTCACATGCACAGGATACAGAAGGTGTAAACGGTACAGTGAATTGGTTACTTGCATATTTGCATAGTAGCAATATCAAAAATAGAACGTGTCCAGATAAATATTGTATAAATTCTTACCCAGGCACACTTGTCTAAATTGATGGGTCATGTGAAATAAATGCTATAACCCCCCCCCCAGCCCCATCTAGCTAAGTTAATGGGTCACTATTGTCTACATGGGTCATGTAATCATCTGGCGAAGTGGAGTCTTTTGTTTAGACATGTAGCTAGCTAAACAATACACCTAATGGTGCTTTCAAGACAACTGGGAACTTGGAAAAATATTAGGTCAAATAATGATGTCAGTGATCTTCAGGGTGGAAAGTCGGGGCTCCCGTTCAAAATGATTTCGGGAGTCGGAGCTCGTTTTTTTTTTTTTTAGAGTTCCCAGTTGTCTTGAACACACTGAAGTTGGAAGTCGGAGATTTCCGAGTTCCCAATTCCGAGTTCCCACTTGTTTTGAACGCAGCATAGCAAAACAAACTGATTGTCATAGCTAGCCACCATGCATGAATCTGCAGGTACCTAAAGCTAACCAACTAGGTTCAATGTTAGCTAGTTAGCTAACATTAGGCTATAACTAGCAATACAAATGGATTTCTGAGATATGAATAATATTACTACACAGATCAAACACGTAACGTTAGCTAGCGAGCCAGCCAGCTAACATTAGCTAGTTAGCTAACAGTACGCTTTAACTTGCAATGAAAACGACTATCTGACAAAATTAGAAACTATATAAACTGAATTAGAAACTAATATCTGAAAATGTAGCTAGCTAGACTCTTTCCCGAATACATGGATGAACGCTTCTCCCTCACTGTTACGATGCCATGGTTGCCCTTAGTTTGAAGATATCATCCAGGGACAGGTGTTTTATATAACACTGTTCTCTTTTCGACTTCCTCTGCATATTTGCAACCAAAAGCCAGAATTTAGCATTCCAATGATTTCAAAACTCGGTCAACTTCTTCTGTGACAACAACACTGTTGATCGCCGTTTCTTCCCCCATCACTGTCATCAGAAGACTCTACATTGTCTGGTTCAATGAAAATGTTTTTACCTAAATCAGGGATTTTCTCATCGTCTGATTCATTTTCAGAGTCAGAGAGTCAGTATGGCACGATTGTCCTCCAGAATGTAGTCCATCACAACTTTTTCCCACAGATTTTTGTCGATGTGATAGCGGCTGTTAAATTCAGGGCAGCACTTTTGCAGTTCTTCATGATATCCTTCAAAAAAGCCATTTTAGAAAGGATTATCTACACGTACTGATCAGCTCATGTTATAAATCCGAACTCATCTTTCGGCATGTCCAGCCCACCCATTATCTCAGCCAATCATGGCTAGCGGGAAAGTTCAGTTTTTGGCTAAACCAACTATGCTCATAATTTAACAATTGTATTCGTATTTACAGATGGCTTACAAGTTTGTTATTAAGGCACTTGAAAGTTCACATGTTCCAGAAAGCATTTCTGTCAAGAAAACGCATTTTGATAAAAAATAAATGTTTACGTTCAAATGCCTCTCCTGTGAAGTAGTGACATGCGACATACGCCTAGTTTCCTGAAACAAGTCACATGTGTGTGAGTTTGTGTGTGTGCATGCGTGCCTGTGCATGCGTGTGTGTGTGGTTTTTCAGGGACATCTCTGTTCTTACATGGTAGCCATGTAACTGTAGGCAACAACACCTCTGACACGCTGACCCTCAACACGTGGGGGCCCCTCAGGGGTGTGTGCTTAGTCCGCTCCTGTACTCCCTGTTCACCCACGACTGTGAGGTCAGAGACTTGGCAGCAGTGGGGGTCGGTGCCGTTTAAGATGAGGGAGGATTTTTTTTTTTTTTACATGGCCTTATTTCTATTGCAGCATATTGGATGACTGTCATTCATATTACATTCACCCAGCTCAATGTAACATCGATAGGGTTAGGCTACTCCATGGTGCTCAAATCTTTCCTGTACCCATCATGAGGTTGCTACAACCTAGCCTATGAATTAAAGTTTACAACGTAGGTGCACAGGTCGAGATAATGTTGAGTAATCAAGGTGACAGACAGTCTGCATATAGCTGATTTAGAGTGTAATCATTAGTCCAACAGTTGCAATGAATACACCCCTGATCACACACAAACACAGTTCACTTTCATAGCAGCCACATACGAACAGCTTGTATATATAATTCCTTCTTGCATCTTTCTACGCACGCTCCTCCTCTCACCTTCTCCCTTCGTTTGTGGACTTCAGTGCACAACACGTCAGCTGTCTGTGACCGCTACAATCATGCAGTACAGTGTACAGTCAGCAGCAAGCAGTTTAGCTTTTACACCGGTGGGCCCGGTGGCAATAAATTAATACAACCAAAAGCTTACCTTGACTTGGAAGAGTTCCAGTATTGGATAGCCATAGCCAGCTAGCTAACATAGCATCCCTCTCGGTTTGAGCTGGTTGTTTGAGTAGGCTAAATTAGTTCGCTGCATTCGATGCTAGCTAGGTAAGTGAAAGTGGGAAAAAAAATAAGATGAAATATAGCTAACTCTCTCTCTCTTGCTTCTCCTTAATTTTGGAAGAAATTAATTTGTTCAAAACTGTTAAACTATTATCTTTCTCTCTCTTTGAGTCAACTACTCACCGCATTTTATGTACATTTTACATTTACATTTTAGTCATTTAGCAGACGCTCTTATCCAGAGCGACTTACAGTTAGTGAGTGCATACATTATTTTTCATTTTTCATACTGGCCCCCCGTGTGAATTGAACCCACAACCCTGGCGTTGCAAACGCCATGCTCTACCAACTGAGCTATATCCCTGCCGGCCATTCCCACCCCTACCCTGGACGACGCTGGGCCAATTGTGTGCTGCCCCAATTGTGTGCCGCCCCAGTGCTAGCTAGCTGTAGCTTATGCTTTCAGTACTAGATTCATTCTCTTATCCTTTGATTGGGTGGACAACATGTCAGTTCATGCTGCAAGAGCTCTAATAGGTTGGAGGATGTCCTCCGTAAGTTGTTATAGTTACTGTGTAAGTCTATAGAAGGGGGTGAGAACCATGAGGCTCCTAGGTTTTGTATTGAAGTCAATGTACCCAGAGGAGGACGGAAGGTAGCTGTCTTCTGGCTACACCATGGTGCTACCCTAAAGAGTACTGCTGAGGCTATTGTAGACCTTCATTGCAAAACAGTGTGTTTTAATCAATTATTTGGTGACGTGAATATATTTAGTATATTTTTTAAATGAAATTCACTGAGGATGGTCCTCCCCTTCCTCCTCTGAGGATCCTCCACTGCTTGTCAGTGTGGTGCAAGGACAAAAACCTCTCCCTCAATGTCAGTAAGACAAAGGAGCTGATTGTTGACTACAGGAGAAAGAGCGAACAGCACGCCCCTATCCACATCGACAGGGCTGTAGTGGAGCGGGTTGAGAGCTTCAAGTTCCTTGGCGTCCAAATCACTAAGGACTTAACATGGTCCACACACCTGCACAGTCGTGAAGAGGGCACGACAGCGCCTCTTCTACCTCAGGAGGCTGAAAAGATTTGGCATGGGCCTTTGGATCCTTAAAAACTTCTACAGCTGCACCATTGAGAGCATCTTGACTGGCTGCATCACCGCTTAGTATGGCAAATGCATCGCCCTCGACTGCAAAGCGCTACAGAGAGTGGTGCGGACGGCCCAGTACATCACTGGGGCCGAGCTCCCTGCCATCCAGGACCTCTATATCAGGTGGTGTCAGAGGAAGGCCCGATAAATTGCCAAAGACTTCAGCCAACCAAGCCATAGACTGTTTACTCTGCTACCGTCCGGCAAAAGGTATCGGAGCATCGGCTCTCTGACAAATAGGCTAGCTTCCACCCCCAAGCCATAAGACTGCTAAATAGCCATAAATAGTTAATTAAATGTTTACACGGTCTGCATTTACCCTATCTTGCACTGACTCTATGCACACTCACAAGACGATACACTGAGTGTACAAAGCATTAGGAACACCTGCTCTTTCCATGACATAGACTGACCAGGTGATTCCAGGTGAAAGCTATGATCCCTTATTGATGTCACTTGTTAAATCCACTTCAATCAGTGTAGATGAAGGGGAGGAGACAGCTTAAAGAAGGATTTTTAAGCCTTCAGACAATTGAGACATGGACTGTGTATGTGTGCCATTCAGAGGGTGAATTGGCAAGACAAAAGATTGAAGTGCCTTTGAACGGGTTATGGTAGTAGGTGCCAGGCGCACTGGTTTGAGTCTGTTAAGAAATGAAACACCGCTGGGTTTTTCACTCTCAACAGTTTCCCTTGTGTATCAAGAATGGTCCACCACCCAAAGGACATCCAGCCAACTTGACACAACTGTGGGTAACATTGGAGTCAACATGGGCCAGCATCCCTATGGAACGCTTTTGACACCTTGTAGAGTGTTCTGAGGGCTAAAGTGGGTGCGACTCAATAATTTTGTATTTATTTTATTTTAATTTCACCTTTATTTAACCAGGTAAGCCAGTTGAGAACAAGTTCTCATTTACAACTGCGACCTGGCGAAGATAAGGCAAAGCAGTGCGATAAAAACAACAACAACACAGAGTTACATATGGGATAAACAAAAACGTACAGTCAATAACACAATAGAAAATCTATATACAGTGTGTGCAAATGTAGTAAGTTATGGAGGTAAGGCAATAAATAGGCCATAGTGCAAAATTACAAATTACACTGGAGTGATAGATGCACAGAAAATGATGTGCAAATAGAGATACTGGGGTGCAAATGAGCAAAATAAATAACAATATGGGGATGAGGTAGTTGGGTGGGCTAATTTCAGAAAGGCTGTGTACAGGTGCAGTGATCGGTAAGGTGCTCTGACAACTGATGCTTAAAGTTAGTGAGGGAGATAAGAGTCTCAGCTTCAGAGATTTTTGCAGTTCGTTCCAGTCATTGGCAGCAGAGAACTGGAAGGAATGGCGGCCAAAGGAGATGTTGGCTTTGGGGATGACCAGTGAGATATACCTGCTGGAGCGCATACTACGGGTGGGTGTTGCTATGGTGACCAATGAGCTAAGATAAGGCGGGGATTTGCCTAGCAGTGATTTATAGATGACCTGGAGCCAGTGGGTTTGGTGACGAATATGTAGTGAGGGCCAGCCAACGAGAGCGTACAGGTCACAATGGTGGGTAGTATATGGGGCTTTGGTGACAAAACGGATGGCACTATGATAGACTACATCCAATTTGCTGAGTAGAGTGTTGGAGGCTATTTTGTAAATGACATCGCCGAAGTTAAGGATCGGTAGGATAGTCAGTTTTACGAGGGCATGTTTGGCAGCATGAGTGAAGGAGGCCTTGTTGCGAAATAGGAAGCTGATTCTAGATTTAACTTTGGATTGGAGATGCCTAATGTGAGTCTGGAAGGAGAGTTTAGGGTCTAACCAGACACCTAGGTATTTGTAGTTGTCCACATATTCTAAGTCAGACCCGCCGAGAGTAGTGATTCTAGGCGGGCGGGCGGGTGCAAGCAGCGTTCAATTGAAGAGCATGCATTTAGTTTTACTAGCGTTTAAGAGCAATTGGAGGCTATGGAATGAGTGTTGTATGGCATTGAAGCTCGTTTGGAGGTTTGTTAACACAGTGTCCAATGAAGGGCCAGATGTATACAAAATGGTGTCGTCTGCGTAGAGGTGGATCTGAGAGTCACCAGCAGCAAGAGCGACATCATTGATATACACAGAGAATAGAGTCGGCCCGAGAATTGAACCCTGTGGCACCCCCATAGAGAGGTGTTCCTAATGTTTGGTACACTCTGTGTATGTCACGGATGCTGCCGAGGCTGCTCCTCCTCCTTGCTCGGGCAGGCTTCGGCGTTTGTCGTCCCCGGAGTACTAGCTACTACCGCTCGATGTTTTCGATGTTTGTTTTGTAATGTCTAGTTAGTACACCTGTTTCGTATTCTGTATTGATTATGTTACATATAAGTTCCCTTGTTTTATGTTTGCCTTTGTGTGTTATTGTCCGCGTGTCCTGTATTTATGGTTGGCATTGATCATCCTGTTTATTACGCACTCCGCGTATTATCCTCCTCTTGTGTTTTGGAGGCTTTTGTTTTATGCGTATTTTTGGAAAGTAAAGCAGTCGTTACTGATCTTCTGTGTCCTGCGCCTGACTTCACCGCTGCATACACTTCAGCATTTTGACAGAGTATATTATCCATGTCCTTCTTCAGCCACGACTCCGCAAAACATAGGATATTACAGTTCTTGAGGTCCCGTTGATAGGATAGTCTTGGAACAGAGCTCGTCCAGTTTGTTCTCTAGTGATTGTACGTTCGCCAATAGGGGGTGCAACTCAATACACTCAGTGTATATACGCTGGTACTGGTACTCCCTGTATATAGCTCCACATTGACCTGGTACTGGTACTCCCTGTATATAGCTCCACATTGATCTGGTACTGGTACTCCCTGTTAATAGCTCCACATTGATCTGGTACTGGTACTCCCTGTATATAGCTCCACATTGACCTGGTACTGGTACTCCCTGTATATAGCTCCACATTGATCTGGTACTGGTACTCCCTGTATATAGCTCCACATTGACCTGGTACTGGTACTCCCTGTATATAGCTCCACATTGATCTGGTACTGGTACTCCCTGTATATAGCTCCATTATTTTGTATTTTATTTTATTCCTCTTGTGTTAGTTACTTTTTTAAATGTATTTTTGTTTTACTCTGCATCGTTGGGAAAGGTTCGTAAGCAAGCACTTCACTATAAAGTCTGCACAAGTTGCATTCGGCGCATGTGATCCTCTGTAGCTCAGCTGGTAGAGCACGGCGCTTGTAACGCCAAGGTAGTGGGTTCGATCCCCGGGACCACCCATACACAAAAATGTATGCACTCATGACTGTAAGTCGCTTTGGATAAAAGCGTCTGCTAAATGGCATATTAATTAATTAATTAATAATAATTAATAATGTGATAAATAAAATGTGATTTGATTTGCCTGTGTGTGTGTGTGTGTGTGACAGAGACACACAGAACATCATCTCTCTTAGTGCAGGTCTTTTTATAGCTGTAATTAGCTGTGTTTGTTCCCACAGGACACTGTTTATAATCCTATAGCCTAGTGTGCTGTAGAAGGGCTGACACTGACCATATATCAGCTCTGTATGTGTGTGTGTGTGTGTGTGTGTGTGTGTGTGTGTGTGTGTGTGTGTGTGTGTGTGTGTGTGTGTGTGTGTGTGTGTGTGTGTGTGTGTGTGTGTGTGTGTGTGTGTAAGACAGAGAGCTGACCATATACCAGCTCAGCGCATCACAGGGACAAGGACAGTGAAGATGGCTACTTTTTATGTGAATGACTGGTGGTGGTTCATTCCTAAACCAGAGTCGTATTCTTTAGATCACACCGTAGCAAAATGTTTCAATCGTTTAAAAAATATGTTTAAAAAACGGTTATTTTATTCCTAGTAGTCCCTCCCTGTTTAAGTCTGTTTTCTTCTGTTTGTTGCTCAATGAACACAATGCAGAAATCAGGGAATGTTGATGAAGGGAATCACATGGAAATGCTAATCTGGGACAGTGTTGGTTATATCATAGGTCTCTCTGTGAAAATGTATACTGGTAGCTACTAAGTTCACTCCTTTCCTATTATAGTGTCAACATTGCATTTTGGCCTCTTATTTAAAAGTTGTGTGCCAATGTAAGCATAGTGAGAAAGCCTGCCTTCCAACATTCTTCCTGATGTAAGTCCCCTGTAGCTCAGTTGGTAGAGCATGGCGCTTGCAACGCCAGGGTTGTGGGTTCGTTTCCCATGGGGGGCCAGTATGAAAAATGAATGCACTAACTAACTGTAAGTCGCTCTGGATAAGAGCGTCTGCTAAATGACTTAAATGTAATGTTTCTCCAGGATCTTCTACGTGTCCCATGACTCCCAGGACCTGAAGATCTTCAGTTACATCGCCAGAGATGGCTCCAACAACTCCTTCAGGTGTAATGTCTTCAAAACCAAGAAGAAGGTGAGAGAGACTAGGCCATATTACTCCTCTCATGCCAAGTGGTCATACTGTGTAGGTCACCTGTATCTGTTCTTTCTCTCTCTCATCTGTCCAACTGTACAGATGTAATTATATATCCCTCTCTCTCCCCCCTCCCTCTACCCCGTCAGACCCAGGCCATGCGTATAGTGCGTACGGTGGGCCAGGCGTTTGAGGTGTGTCATAAGCTCAGTCTGCAGCACGCCCATCAGGGTATAGATGGACAGGCAGATGGAGAGAGTGACAAGTCTACAGAGGACACCCCCGCTGAGAGTGAGAGAGAGGGGGAGAGACACACACATGCACACACACCGACTGCCACAACACTGTTACACTCCTACATTGTTCACTAAACGTGACAGACACAGATAGACACACACACACACACACACACACACACAATCTCACAAAGATTGTATTGTTCTATCATTTCACTGACTGACAAAACAGACACAGAAACTGAACACACTGTTCATGTGTGAACCAAGGAGGACACCTGACCATTAGTGATGATTTGATGATGTCATTGGTTTGTGTGTGTTCCTCTTTCCCGCAGGTCGTCAGTTGACAGGGGCAGAGGAGGAGGAGGAGGAGGGGGGTGGAGAGGAAGGGGAGCCCCAGGCACAGTCCCAGTCTGTGTGTGAGCAGGCGGTTAACGAGATCCTCCAGAGTCTGGCCCAACTCAACGTGGTCCAGCCTGGACACACCATCATGGTAAGAGCACCTGACTTACTTTACTTATTCCTTTCAGCTCCTGGAGGAGCAAAGGGCCTCAACAGGGAGTCAACAGGGCCTCAACAGGGAGTCAATAGGGAGTCAACAGGGCCTCAACAGGGCCTCAACAGGGATTCAACAGGGCCTCAACAGGGAGTCAACATGGCCTCAACAGGGAGTCAACAGGAACTTAACAGGGAGTCAACAGGACCTCAACAGGACCTCAACAGGGAGTCAACAAGGCCTCAACAGGAACTCAACAGGGATTCAACAGGACCTCAACAGGGCCTCAACAGGGAGTCAACAGGAGCTCAACAGGGAGTCAACAGGACCTTAACAGGACCTCAACAGGACCTCAACAGGGAGTCAACAAGGCCTCAACAGGACCTCAACAGGAACTCAACAGGGAGTTAACAGGGCCTCAACAGGGAGTCAACAGGGCCTCAACAGGGAGTCAACAGGACCTCAACAGGACCTCAACAGGGAGTCAACAAGGTCTCAACAGGAACTCAACAGGGAGTCAACAAGGCCTCAACAGGACCTCAACAGGAACTCATCAGGACCTCAACAAGGCCTCAACAGGGCCCCAACAGGGCCTTCACAGGGCCTCAACAGGGAGTCAACAAGGCCTCAACAGGACCTCAACAGGGAGTCAACAGGACCTCAACAGGGACTCAACAGGACCTCAACAAGGCCTCAACAGGACCTCAACAGTGCCTCAACAGGGACTCAACAGTGAACCCTGGGTAATGTTCATAACTTTATTCCAGGGGTGTATTCTTTAGTCGATTTCCATAGGAAAACATTTCGTAACGAAAATAAGAGTTTCTATTGGACATATTCACATAAGGAATCATTGTCTCACGTCAGATGGCATACTCTTACGCGACGCTCGTCCCTCAACCGGTCTGTCTTGTAGGACGTGGAACTCATCTCTAAAAATCGAGATTTTGCTCAGCATGTATCTGACAGCTGGCACTGTGCCTCGATCGCTACTTTGTAACATTTGGCCAATGCGATAACAGCTGTGCTGTAGAACTTGGACCACTAATCACAGCAGAACAGATATCATAAAAACTAATTTGTGCATTAGCTAGAACTTCACTAGCTAGCTAGCTAGTTATCAGACAGATTAGTGTAGATGTCCGTCGCGCTATTTGAAATGAGACAATGGGTAAGGGATGGAACTTAAATATTTTGGTCACTGGTCAGCTGGGCTAGTAGACCACAATTTTTGCTAGCAGGGCTGCGTTTAGCAGGGCATAATGTTGTGGAACGTTCAGATAGAAATATAGCTATGGCATAGAATTAACATACCTCTCTGACATGTAGAATATGTAATATCCGCTACATTCAGGACATTTCTATCTGCAACATTTCAAAACGTTTTCCTACTGACTGTTGCCCATGGTTTGCAGTGCTGCAGAGTCTAGTCTATAGCTATAGTTTCAGTGCGACAGAGTCTCTTTAACGCAGATCTATGCTGTGGTTCCCTGCGGCAGTTTCTATTTAACCCAGATATATGCTGTAGTTTCTGTGCAGCAGTATCTATTTAACCCAGATCTATGCTGTGGTTCCCTGCAGCAGTGTCTATTTAACCCATATCTATGCTGTGGTTCCCTGTGATTCCCTGCGGCAGTGTCTATTTAACTCAGATCTATAGCTGTGGTTCCCTGCAGCAGAGTCTATATAACCCAGATCTATAGCTGTGGTTCCATGCAACAGTTTCTATTTAACCCAGATCTATGCTGTGGTTGGAGCTACACTGAAGGGTTGGGGCTGTCCTGTCAATACTAGCATCCACTTACTGTAGTACCGTAGGAACACACTGAAGGGTTGGAGCTGTCCTGTCAATACTAGCATCCACTTACTGTAGTACCGTAGGAACACACTGAAGGGTTGGAGCTGTCCTGTCAATACTAGCATCCACTTACTGTAGTACCGTAGGAACACACTGAAGGGTTGGAGCTGTCCTGTCAATACTAGCATCCACTTACTGTAGTACCGTAGGAACACACTGAAGGGTTGGAGCTGCAAAGTTCTTCCTCTTCGCTAGTCGTGACTGAGCCAAACAGCTTTTCGCCGTAGCCTACACTTGGCCGCCTGAGCCATGGTGCAAATTAAAATAGGAGGTGCAAACTCATGTTTTTTACCAGAACATTATCATATCCATTGGTTAATTTGTCAATTTTCAAATTTTTTTAAGCTAGTCTATAAAGAAAAGATATATGACCATTTTATAAATGTTATAATTGCGTAATATGATTGCATTTTGCAACCCTGCTCCCCTCGTCGCCCCAAGATAAATGCACTTTTCACTGCTTTGACTGGTGCAGCTGAACCACAAGTGTCTATCCTATAATGAACATGCACCCGCAAAGAAAAATTCAAGGAACTTGTTTGTCTATTTTATGTTACTTTTTTTTTTTTTTTTTTTTTTTTTTTCACCTTTATTTAACCAGGTAAACCAGTTGAGAACAAGTTCTCATTTACAACTGCGACCTGGCCAAGATAAAGCAAAGCAGTGCGATAAAAAACAACAACACAGAGTTACATATGGGGTAAAACAAAACAAAGTCAAAAATACAACAGAAATACATATAATATACAGTGTGCAAATTTAGCAAGTTATGGAGGTAAGGCAATAAAATAGGCTATAGTGCAAAATAATTACAATTAGTATTAACACTGGAATGATAGATGTGCAAGAGATGATGTGCAAATAGAGATACTGGGGTACAAATGAGCAAAATAAATAACAATATAGGGATGAGGTAGTTGGGCGGGCTAATTTCAGATGGGCTGTGTACAGGTGCAGTGATCGGTAAGGTGCTCTGACAACTGATGCTTAAAGTTAGTGAGGGAGATAAGTGTCTCCAGCTTCAGAGATTTTTGCAATTTGTTCCAGTCATTGGCAGCAGAGAACTGGAAGGAATTGCGGCCAAAGGAGGTGTTGGCTTTGGGGATGACCAGTGAGATATACCCGCTGGAGCGCAGACTACGGGTGGGTGTTGCTATGGTGACCAATGAGCTAAGATAAGGCGGGGATTTGCCTAGCAGTGATTTATAGATGGCCTGGAGCCAGTGGGTTTGGCGACGAATATGTAGTGAGGACCAGCCAACAAGAGCGTACAGGTCACAGTGGTGGGTATTATATGGGGCTTTGGAGACAAAACGGATGGCACTGTGATAGACTACATCCAATTTGCTGAGTAGAGTGTTGGAGGCTATTTTGTAAATGACATCGCTGAAGTCAAGGATCGGTAGGATAGTCAGTTTTACGAGGGCATGTTTGGCAGCATGAGTGAAGGAGGCTTTGTTGCGAAATAGGAAACCGATTCTAGATTTAACTTTGGATTGGAGATTCTTAATGTGAGTCTGGAAGGAGAGTTTACAGTCTAACCAGACACCTAGATATTTGTAGTTGTCCACATACTCTAGGTCAGACCCGTCGAGAGTAGTGATTCTAGTCGGGTGGGCGGGTGCAAGCAGCGTTCGGTTGAAGAGCATGCATTTAGTTTTACTAGTGTTTAAGAGCAGTTGGAGGCTACTGAAGGAGTGTTGTATGGAATTGAAGCTCGTTTGGAGGTTTGTTAACACAGTGTCCAATGAAGGGCCAGATGTATACAAAATGGTGTCGTCTGCGTAGAGGTGGATCTGAGAGTCACCAGCAGCAAGAGCGACGTCATTGATATACACAGAGAAAAGAGTCGGCCCAAGAATTGAACCCTGTGGCACCCCCATAGAGACTGCCATAGGTCCAGACAACAGGCCCTCCGATTTGACACATTGAACTCTATCTGAGAAGTAGTTGGTGAACCAGGCGAGGCAGTCATTTGAGAAACCAAGGCTATTTAGTCTGCCAATAAGAATGCGGTGGTTGACAGAGTCGAAAGCCTTGGCCAGGTCAATGAAAACGGCTGCACAGTACTGTCTATTATCGATCGCGGTGCTTCGTGTCCAATGTGCTCCAGGAGTTGTTACATTACATTTGTGAGGTGCATCATGAGCAAAGTCATTGTAGCCTATCATTTCACTTTCCCTGTGAGAACCATGAGCACGGGCTGAAGCCGAAGCCTGCCAGCATCCTACCTACCATAGGTTGCTCTGTGCCCATTACAATGTAGAACAATGCATGTCTCTTATGGAAGATGTTAAAACTAGCGAGATAGCAATAGATGGCGAAGCCAAATATACTGTTTCCATCGTGGCTAAGTTTTCCCTAAATATATATGTTTTTATTTTATTATTATTATATATATTTTCTTGTAGTTTTACCTGTTTTTCTCCCCAATTGGTATTTACAGTCTTGTTCCATCGCTGCAACTCCCCTACAGACTTGGCAGAGGCGAAGGTTGAGAGCCGTGCGTCCTCCGAAACATGAACCTGCCAAGCCGCACTGCTCGCTTAACCCGGAAGCCACCAATGTGTCAGAGGAAACACCGTCCATTCAGCTTGCAGGCGCCCGGCCCACCACAAGGAGTCACTAGAGCGTGATGGGACAAGGAAATCCCGGCCGGCCAAACCCTCCCCTAACCCAGATGACGCTGGACCAATTGTGCGCAGTCTCATGGGTCTCCCGGTCACAGCCGGCTGTGACACAGCCTGGGATCGAACCCGGGTCTGTAGTGACGCCTCAAGCACTGTGATGCAGTGCCTTAGACTTCTGTGCCACTTGGGAGGCACCCCTCCCTAAATATGGTCCTCTGTAGCTATGTGGTCCTCTGTAGCTCAATTGGTAGAGCATGGCGCTTGTAACGCCAGGGTAGTGGGTTCAATCCCCCGGACCACCCATACGTAAAAATGTATGCACACATGACTGTAAGTCGCTTTGGATAAAAGCGTCTGCTAAATGGCATATTATATTATAATTCTGACAAATTCAGCTCCAGAACCAGCCTAGCCAGCTGGCTAATCATTTGAATACGGTGTAGTAAAAAAACAGCCTCAACAGATAACATTTGCTAGCTAGATAAGATTAGCAAGATAGCTAGCTAAGGTTAGAATGCTAGCTAGCTACACTGACAGCTGTCAGTTCCCCATTTGTTGATGTTTCTCGGCTTCACATGGAAATCACCACAACGTTCTTTACCATCCCTCTTCGGAGGTGGAACCTAAACAAGCATTTCCGCTCTAGGGCAGGAATTATGTTGAAATAGGGGCGGCATTGCCCTCTGGTGGGGAGCCTTTAATGCTGTTCGCCATAGAAATAGAATAAGGTGGCCTAGAGTCTGTAGCCGCTGTCTTAAGCCACTGCCTCCTGATCACATACCGCTGAGGATGGGTCCGAATCCAGCCCACTGCTATTTCAGCAAACTCCCTCCTCTATATTTTCTTTCTACCTCTGTCCTGTCCAATAAACAAAAAGTAGTGCCCCACTCCTTTTAAAAAAATATGAAAAGAAAAAAGAAGAATAACTCTAGAAAATATGATATGGCGCTCGATTTAGAGTTATTATTGATCTTTAGGGCTTCTTCTCATTGTATTGTAGACGAAGCACTGCCTTTTCCCAGTACTTTTGGTGGAAGTGATAGTAGTGGCCTAGGGTCAGCCCTTGACAGTAGCTCTAGAAAATGGTCTGCATCACTGATGCCTCTAGGAGAAATCGGAAGTTCTTGGCAATTCACTTTGAGGTAGTGTAGGGGTTTTTCCCCACTAGGCTTCTTACCTCAGAGACACAACAAACGTGTTTTGGTGTTGTTGTCTTTTTCCTTGACACATGTCACTTGTGTAGCCATGCGTAGCACCCT